CTCCTTAGATCAGGCAGTGTAAGAGTTAAATAACAAAAGCATTGCTGCAAACTGGCTTAAAAAGACATAGCACATAAATATTACTATTTCTGTTATCTGACTTGTGCTGTGGTCTGGTAGTATGGTGATAGCAGACCTGAGCAAGTTCCTAAGCAGAGAGAAATTAAAAAAGCAGAAAGTTTGGCTACATCATCTAGTCCAGCTGCTTCTAGTACAGAAATATGCTTTGTCTGGACAAGTTTTACTGACCCCAGTCTCTGGCTTCTGTCTCTTGCCTGGGGATGTTTTTGTGGCATAGCTGTTCCTCCTCTTTCCCCCACTAGTGCATTTTTGGTGTCAGTCTCCTTTCTCCTCCACCTTGGCACTTGAGAGATTTCTGAGAAGTCTGTCAGTTGTTATTTCTTTTTGCTGCTGAAGGAAGGAGGTGAAGGAAGGCAGTGTCATTTTGGAAACGGGGAAACGGAGAGACAACAGGAGGGGAAGAAGTGTGAACGCTGCACCTTGCCCTGCTATTTCTGGACTCTGTGTGCTAAAATAACCTCTTTCTGTTAGCAGGCAAATACTGATATACCTGCATTTGCCAAGAGTTCTTCCCCCAAATCCGTGTGTGGAAACTGCTCAGATACACTGTAATTTTGATGCTCTAATAGCTGCAACTTTTCCTAAAAGGACATACTTTTTTTTTAAAATTAACTCCTTGTCACTGCAAGGGCAGCTCTTTGTATATAATCCATGGCTTTTTTTTTTTGTTCAGTGCCATGCTATATCACAGTCTGAAACAAAAATTATGTACTACTTTTATTTCTTATTATTTCAACTGAGAGGCATCTCAAACAGTATATCTAGGATAGTGTAAAATAAGCCAGTCAATTTTATTTCTAATGCAAAGCCTTTAAAGGGTGTGTATGTTAAATAATCCTCTATTTCTCTCATCTAAAACCATGCAGTACATGAATGGAAAGTCAGTTGCTCACAAATCCATTGCTGTGCAGTCTTTTACATAAACAAAGTCATAAGGATAAGCAAATGCCTTCCTTCTAATTAGCAGTGTGTTTTGTGGTTCCATACATTCCAAAACGTAACAGACAGCTACGCTGCTTAAAATAATCCAAGAGAAAAAAATCCTATGCCACGAAGATAGGGGTGGGAAGGACAGGAGGCAGGAAAATCTGTTGTCTGTGTTCTTGGAGGCCTTTTCTGTCTCCATTTGGATAATGTCAGCTTCTTTTACACAAACGTTACAACATCCAAGGGGAATTAAAAGTACTTACCCATGACCACAAAGTCAGATCTTAGGTTTGTCAGGAGAAAGCAATGCAAAAGCAGGATCTTGGACCCACTGCTTTCATTATGGTTTTAACATGCTGATAAATGCTTCCTAATGTTGGGAAGAGGTAGGGCTGGCTGTCTAGGTGGAATACTGGAAATTTTAACATCTTGTCTCATAGATGTGAGATTTTTTTTGATCTGTAAAAGTGCTGTCTTAAGTCCTAAGTAACAGAACTGTCTCCTGTGATGCCTCTAAAGCTACACAACTTCCCTTTTATACCAGTCTTTTATGAAATGGGCTAGGGACCACTCAGGACAGAGACAAAACCAATGAGTTAAGCTTTTAACTGAGATAATATTGGTCAAATTGAGCCTTTTAACTTCAACATTTTTTTTATAAATGCACCTTAGCCTCACATTAGTGGAAGTAGGGAAAGCAACACTTTTCACGGTTAAGTTTTCATAGGTTTCCATCCCAGCCTTTTTGCACCAGTCTGTGCCATAGCCAGTGTTGTGACCACACTGTAATTGTGCAGGGCTGACCAAGTTGGAAGCTGGAGATCTTAGAAGCCCATGTAGCCATGCCTCTGCACTGGCATTGCAAGGAGTCAGCAGCACAGATATATCCTGTTCACATCCAAAACAACTACAGAGCTGATGGGCTTGCAGGGCTTGACCAACTTCAGCCCCTTTCAGTAGGAGTGTATGTTGTAACTTATGCTTTCATCTAACCCTTTCCTGAATCAAGGCAGAATAAAATCTGGGTTATAGGAAAAAACCTCTACCTCTAAAAGCCAGACAGCTGTAGGGCAGGAACAACAGCTGATCATGTTCAGATTTCCCCCTCAACTCCATTGTTAAGTGGAATGTAATCCACAGTGCCAAAGCCCATCAGCTGAAGTTGTGATTTTGCGAAACAAAACCAAATGAGACGTGTCATACAGCTGCACTATCTCCTTGAGGTGCAGATCTGCTGGCTGGTCACAAACCAGTGCAGTCATTTTGCCATGCAAAAGTATGTACTCCTAATGCATGCACCTTGTCCCAGGGTACAGGTGAGAAAAATACAAAAGCCAGTGCTGATCTTGATGACCCAGATAATGTGCCGCTATTTAATGGTGAAGATATTTAACTATTGGAATAATTTACCTAGTAATTGTGCTGTGGACCCTTATGGTCTGAAATCTTCAAGTTGGATGCCTTTCAAAAGAAGGTGCTTTGGCTGAACAGTCCTTGGGCTTTTTACATGCACATGGAAATGTCCTGGCCTGTGCTGGACATGAGGTCAGACCAGCTCAAGGGTGGACAGTTCCTCTATTCTGCTTCTCTTCAGATGATCTGCTCTCCAGGCCACCAGCCACCATACTGTACCTCACAGATAGGTCCCAGCATGGCTCAGTGACTTTTTCTGAAGCAAGCATTGGTCACCACCATACAGTTGGGAACCCCCAAAAAGCAGAAGACAAATGAAATGTTTTCAACCTGTCCTCCCAGGAGTTCCCAGAAATGGGCATCTGTAGCGGGATAAACGGAGGTGTGGAAAGAAGGTTGTGACGAGCCCAGTCCATTTGTCAGGAGCCTTCCTGTGTCTCTTGGCCAGCATTGGCAGAAGTTGCTCTTGTTAAAAAAGTGTTAGGAATGCAGCAGTGGCAACTCTGCTAACAGCGAGCAGCTGTTCTGGTGATGCCCTCCAGAGACGTGGCTCCTGCAATCTGAGCTGCTCCCTTTTTCCACACACAAGTAATTTCCCAAAATATTTATCATGGTTTTGAACTTTGCCTGAAACTGAATTTTCATTTCTATGGCTGGAACAAAATTGCTCTGGATTTGGAAAGGCTGAGGCTTTTTTCACCAGATGGGGGTGTGCACATGTAAGATGTTGGTATGTCCTTCCCTTCAGTTTGGCTGGAGAGAAATATACAGTTAAAAACTTAAATCTGAAAGTTTTAGTTATACATTAATGTCTTACAGTAGGTGTAACATACCCACAGGTATGTAGTTACAAGTTATAATATTTTCAAGAACTTGAATAGATTGTAAATTGACAACTTCTTGCAATATAAAAAGACCCTGCAGTTGTATCTTAAACATCATAAAGTGGGATTAAGGATGAATTTTTAACCTTCCTTTCTGTACCTTTTTTTTGTTATTTTTTTAAAATGTGTGGTTGCCTGGTTTTAATGGTGCAGCAATAGTTTGTGGCACAGAAATAACAGCATGCTAACCATGAAAGGTGAAGTGACTCATGGCTGACTTGAGAATTCTCTTCACCACATCTCACCTTCACCCTAACGGTGTTAGCAGCAGCCCCTCTGGGCTCCCAGGCAGTGCAGAAACAGGCTAGAACTGTCTGTTCTTATCACACGCAGCGAGCTATTTCAATGGAAAACCTAAACTGCTGATATTTCTGTAGATATCAGCATAGATCCATAACGGTGTTTCTCAAGGACTTGTGTCTTCAATTTTCTTGGCTATTTTCTGCAACTGTCTAAACAAAAATATCTATGCTTCAAATTCAGAAAGGTCACTGTCCCCAACCACAAATTTAATTATCAGCTTTCCCCTTCTACTAACTCTTTTTTTGTCCTCTTTAGTTAATTTTAACCCAGTGTCCCACATTAGGAGCCTTTAGTTTCCACTTGAGGGAGTAGATGCTTACATGAGTGGCCCCAGGGAAGTGAAGCTCAGTAAGTGATCACTAGTGGGAAGCCAGGGTTATACATGGTATTATACCGTGGAAAGCTTCCAATCTCTTGTTGCAGACAAAATGTCTACAAAACCAATACTACTACTTTCCTAAATTCCTGCATTTTGCAGATGTGAAGCTCAATTTCTACAGGGGAAGCCAGGCTGTTCTGGGGGAACTCCCAGTGCTGTCTTTTTGCTGCTGCTGCTAATTTTCATGAGCACCATAGAATACAGTAGAAAATTGAAACTGTGTGAAAGATCAACAAATCAATGTAGAATGTCATGCAGCAACATCTGTTAACTTTGGCTCTATCTCATATCCTCCTGACCCCTCCTTTCCAGCCACAAGTCTCCTGTTTTGTGAGAGCTCAGAGTGATAGGGACTTGGGGAAGGGGGGGAATGTCTAGCTGTTTCTCAGTGGTCTGAAGGGCTTGCAAAAGTACCATCTGGAATGAAAGTTTCATGCTTGTGTGTTTCTATATTTTTAGTTATGAAACAAATGGGAATTTGCTGAATGAATTAATTGTATTGTGCTATGAAAGTCTATCTTGAGAATTGTTATATAGGGGAGCTTACAAAGGCTGCAGGGAGAAATGAAAGCAGCCTCCCATTCTAATTAGGGCTTTCAGGAAATCATTGATTACAGAATAAAATAGGGTTGCTCAGAGACATTTGTTTGATATTACTTCTGGTAAACAAAATTTTTTCTAATAATTTTACTGGTGACACTGGAAGCAGCTGCAATCTCTAGTGGTAAGCTTGCCTTCAATAAAACTCCCCCCTTTCCTCCTACCTTGTCCGTATAGTTACAGCTAATGAAACATTACTTCCAAACTATAGATCTCAGTGAAAAAATTAAATGGTGAAGAAATGGGCAATACAATAGACAGTATGTTTTAATGGGATGGTCTTCGCCTGGACCAGGTTAATGATATAAGCTTGTTCCTTGCATTGTATTTAAAAATAGTCAAAACAAAACCTTGACCTGATATGTAGAAGTTTTTTACCTTTTTTCTTGTTTTTTGTTTTTTGTTTTAAACAGGGGCAGACTATTTCACTAGCTCCTATTCCAAAAGTAGAGGAAGTTCTGTATACGTATCAGCCTCTGCAAGTGGAGACGTATGGACCGCAAGTTCCGGAGCTTGAAATGCTGGGAAGGCTGGGGTGAGTAACACAGCAAGTTTTAATTCCAGTTTCATGGTATGATAGCTGGGACTGTTACCATCTTCAGCTTTCCAACACATAGGGGTCTTTCTTTTTTTTTTCTTTCCTTTTTTGTAAGGATCTTAACAAAATATTAGACTTCCTGCCCAACCAACATTTTGTTTGGGTGGATAAGCTGAAATTTTTGGTCCTCTAGCCTTTATAGATCTATTAAGAGCTGGACTGGATTGCATTAGTGTTTTTAAGGTTGTCCTTGGCAGTCATAGTGAAGTAGCTGTTCATTTTCAGTTGCACGGTATTAAAAAATAAATAAATAAAAATCCAGGGCTTAATATAGCCAGCTGTAAGCCAGTAAAAATATTAAAGTTGGGCTGTTTGCCCTGGAAAAGGGTAGATTTACTTGTCAACTGCTGTCTACAGTCAAACTGCATTTGTGAGAAATGAAGCACAGAGCTTAACTTTGTCAAAAGATATAATGCAGGGGCTGGTCGAGCAGCTTGGCGGCATTGCGCTGTGCAGCCATGTTTGGAAAGGAGTTTGGGAGCCCTCTGTGCCTGGGTGGTGGAGGCTGGGAAATCCAGAAGTGATTCATCTGCTCTCTAGAGACATGTTGGTAGCTGGAATGCCACCTGAAAAAGCATAGCTACTGGGACAGTGAGTGTCACACAACTCATCATAGCCTAACTTTGAAGGTCAACAACACTTAGAGTGCCTGGAAGACTATGTGGCAGAATGAGTGTGCAGAATTGCAGGGCAAGAAAGAGCTTAAAAAATAACAGTTTATGTTTGACTGTTCAATATGAGAGAATTGAAGCCGCAAAGTACTGAGCAAAGTTGAAACAATTTAGTATGCAGTTTCAGAGACCACTGAAATCCAAACAGGAATCACTGGCACAGGGGAGATTGTATCTCATCCAGAAAATTATAGAGGTATATAGACTTTTTAAAAGTAAATAAGTAACCTACTGCCTCAGAAAATTCAAGGCTGTCTGGAACTGAGGTTGTCCCCATTTTTGCTGTGTCCTCGTGATGCCTGTAACTTTTATCTCATATCAAGCTTCTGAGACCAAATATTAATTAGCAGTTTAACCTTGGGCAGAGCCAGATTCAGCCTTCACCACCTGTCTGGATGGAGCACAGCTGTGAGGGACCTCCAGTGTGAGGGAGTTTGGAGCTCTCTTGGCCCTAAGCCTCATCACAAATGAAAGTGGGCAGGGGGAGATGACTTGTGCAGGGAAGACTTGTGCCCCCATAGGCGAGTGCTAGTGTCCAGATAGCAGGAATCCTGTATGTTCCATGGCCATCGCATCTAGTTGCCTGTGACACTGGTTCAAAGGCAGCCCAGCACCTTGCAATACAAAATCCTTTTAATTGTAGAGTCCATATGCGAGCATATTTGAAGCAGCATTTGCAAGCAGTGCTCATAGCCTTTTCTTAGAGATGCTTTTGAGTGTGTCATTTCACCCCTCTGAGTACAAACAGAGGCTCTGTAGTTGCTGGAGGAGTTGGGAGTGGTTTTGGTAGCAAGGGGAGGTGGGTTGGTGGTACACACCAGAATAGTTCCTCTGAGGCTGTTTGCAGTGGGTTCCCAGCCTGTACAACTCTAACCCTGTTCCGTGGGGTGTCTGAATACCTTGAACCATGCAAGGCGCTTCATTTACATATTTGTATTTCTGTGTTTATATGAACTCGTGCATTTCCTGTTGATGATGAATGCTTAACTAATGTGCCTCAGTCCCTGCTTTGGTTTTTTTCAGGCAGCTGCATACAGCTGCCTGGGTGAGGCAGAAGAGCTGGGCACATCGTTATCCTCTCCTGCTAGAGATTTTTAGTTTCCTTGTCATTTGCACTCATACAAAGACGGGTTAAATCTTTTCATGTTCTCGTTAATAGTTTGCAGTCTGGTTAATTACTGCTGCTAAATAGCTCACTCAAATGTGCAGGCTATTATCATTAAGTTTCTGGAGCTGTAATTATTGCAGAGATGCTGCTGAACTGGAAGCTTTGAATTCGCTTCTGGTAGCAGAATTTAATGTTTTTTGTATTTTTTTTTCTTAAGATACTGTTTAAGCACTCAATAGAGCGGGCTTTTTGAATATTCACATCTTAACCTCTTACCTTCTTCAAGACTCACTCCAGATTTCAGCATCACTGCTGCTTTTCTTTCATAGAATCATAGAGTGGTTTGGGTTGGAAGGTCCCTTAAAGATTATGTGGTTCCAACCCCCGTGCTGGGACACTGTCTTCTAAGCAAGGTTGCTCAAAACCCCATTGAGCCAGTAAACGGTTGTAATGAAGGAGACATCTGGCAAGAAGATTTCTAGCAAAGAGCAAGATAAATGGTGAATCCATAAGGGATCATTTTAAAGCTTTGTTAGGGATCTCTTATAATTTAATTTAAAAATTGCTTTTTAAGATGACTTATATTATTTGCTCATTTGGCTTTACAAATAACTTGTGTGCAGTCCGGTAAGCTTGATTCAGCATCCTCGTACTGCTGAAACTGTTTTCAGTTTCTCTTGGGGCTGTAAATTTTGTTTTTTTTTCTGTGTACAGAAACATTTAACATCCTTATGATGCATTTTTTGCCAGTGTGTTGGGAGTCTGAGAATGGTGAAGAAATAGATTTATTTCCCCCTCAACACAAATGATTGGTGTAATGTGTAGGGGCTTGTGTCCTTCAACACCCCCAACACTCCCCGTTTTTTAATGGAGGAAGATTTTCTAGGAGTAATGAAATATAGGCAATAATCATAGAATCGTTAGGGTTGGAAAGGACCTTATGATCATCTAGTTCCAACATGGCTTTCTGGGAGCAACATGTATTACAGTAACTTGTAGACCATATTTAACCTTAATGGCAGTAGGAGTGAAGCATTATTGGAGCCATCCTCTAATAGAGATTGCCTTGATTACGCATCTGTGTGTTTACTGCAGGGAAGTCTTGGCACCTGGTGAATACACCCTGAATGTGCCAGGTTGGTGATGGTCTGATCTGGATGATAAAGATCACTTTGGGTGTTCAGGCCGTGAGGACCAACTCATGCCTATCTCAGATGTCAAATGGAAATACAGCTTGGAGAAGAAGGGAAGACATGTATGAGGGCATCTCCCAAACCTATGGTGCTGTCCTTGGAGAAAAGTGTCTCAGATCACTGTAATGTGCCTGTCCTGGAGGCGGGCTCTACAGCTGCCTGTCAGTCCGTGATGAGTAATAGTCCTGGGTCTGTGTGTCTTAGTTGGTACTCTGAATTACTGAGGTGTTCAGTGATGTGCTTTGGGAAACTGTTGGTTTCCAGTTTGAGTGGAAGGCAACCTGCTGATAGGAGTCGTGTTTAGAGAGCCCTGTTATCAAAGGCCCTACTAGCACTTCTGCTGTGACTGGAAACAGATTGGTGTACTTCGACTAAAGTTGGGAATGTCATTGTTTGGGTCAAATTGGTCCAGATCTGTTGAACTGCCAAAGTCATTGTAGGGTTGTGTGACCTACCATGGCTTTCAGGGAGTGGAGGTGTGTGGCTGAGAGAGGGAGCAGAAGCGCCTGGATGCTGAGGCACTCATGCCATTAGTTTACTTTGAAGTTTCCTTAGATGAGAAAAAAAAAGCCATTCTTTGCCCTCTTTCCCCTTCTCTCCCCATGTTTTAGCTGAGCACACTGAATTTGTGTGGTTGGAGGTCTGGATTTTTCTTACTGCAAAACAAAAGAGATGAAAAAATATAACAAACTTTGACATGCCAAGTAGTGAAAGAGCAGAACAGGATGGGGATGGAAATTAGTTTGTTGTTTTAAAAATGTATGTTTGTTTTGTAGTTTTGATTAAGAAAACCAAAACAAAAACCCAAAACAAAACGCAAAACCAAAACACAAAAACCCAAGGATCAAAATGATGGTTGGTTGAGGTTGAGAATGTAAAGACATTCTCAGCATTAATTGTAAGTATGCATGGCAAGCCACACAGCGTTCTCACACGAAGTATTTTACAGCTGTGGAAGAGCCATAGGCAAGCTACTTAAAACCTGACTATAAATCGAAAATCTGCTGATGTGATTAACATTTTGGGTAAAGATGCGTGAACTTTGTCTCAAAGTTTAGAAATAGTTGTAATCTAAGTGAATTGTACTCTTAACACAGTCCTAGTCTCACAAAATAGGGCCAGTTTACAAGTAAGATAAGAATTTCTGTTTGCTCTCCACTTAAAAATTCTCTGCCTTTACAGAGAGCTTTTGTACAGACCTTGAAACCAAGTCAAGCCTGGGCTGCTTAAAATAAAACTGTTTGCCTACTTAACTTTCTCTGGAGAGCTACATCCTGAATATATACATGTGAATGTAAATATCAGGTTTACTCCAAGTATCTGTACTTTTCTTCAGGGAAAAATGTGACTTCCCTTTCATCTATCAACTTGTTTTCATGTACAATCACATTGTTAGCAGTGCTGCAGTTAATTGGCGTTTTGCTTAAATATGATGCAAAAAATAGTGGTGAACACTAATCTAATGAAGATAGGTAATATACTTTGATAATTTAAAAGCTAAAATGACATTTAGCTTAGATTTAAAAGTTAAGGACAAGTACTGAAGCAAAATCAGAGTAGCGTGGAAGTCTGTACATACAACGAATGTCTTTTAGCCCACTGTGATTAATAAACAACTGGATTGTTTCATTACTTTTTTTCCTGGTGTAGGACAGCTCAGTCATTTTAAATTCTAAATTAAGATGAGGTTGGATTTCATATCTGTTGGAGCTTTGTAAGCATTTAATTTTTAACCTTCATTTCAAGTGGAAAATTTCTGCATATTTCTTTGTTGTACAGTGTTGTAGAGTAATTTGAAACACATGTAGAGTTCTGGCACTTACTCTAGAAATGATTCGTGTAACTTCTTTGCTGTCAATCATAATGATTTTTTTCCTTAAGTAAGTCAATAGTAAGGATGCTCTCCAAACTCTTCTTATGCCGTAGCTCATTTGGTCTTTGGCCAGACTAGTTTTTGCTAAACCCCTGTCAGTGTCTGTGTTGGGTTCAAGACAATGAAATAACTGAAAATCGATTTTGAAGGGGTGACAGGACCACTGGGCCTTAAAAGTTGTAGCAGGTGATTTGTCACTGAGGTATGCAGATATTTCTTGAATCTTGGAAAAGGAGAAAAGCCACAACTGAAGGGCTTACTTGATCTGCTTTGGACCATAGATTTTGAACACTGAATTCATTCTGCTCCTTTGAATAGAATACAGTTTTTCAGTAAGCTCAGTACTCAGAGTCAAAAGATTGAGTAAAAGCAAGGAAAGCTTGTCTTGCTTTGGAGGGCAGGAGAGGGTTGCACTCCTTCTTGCAGGAATTCTCTTGGCTACCAAGGCATATGGTCTGAATTTCCCAGTGTCTCCTGTTGCTGGGCCAGATGCAATCCTCAGTAGAAGGATTTCTGTCAGCCGCAATGCATTTTGAATCTGGCACCTAATGGATGAGAATTGGTAGGGAAGAAATGATTATGGCTTTACAGACAGCTACATTTGCATACAGCCTTTTACAGTGAAGTATTTTTTCTTCATTTCATCATGAATAATTGAATAAAAAGTACTGTATGGGTACAATTTTTTAATAGTATGGCCAAGTGAGCAATCTGTTTCAAAAGAAGATGGAAGGAAACAGAACTGTGTGTAAACCATCTTAATTTGGTTTTATTCTGGCTGTCTCTCATTTTGCAGGCACTCCCTAAACCTCCATAGCTTCAAACTTCTCATACCTCTTGCATGGTGCCTATAAAGACTGCCTAAAGGAACTCTTTTGTATTGCTTTAGCATACTGTAGAAATCCTACAGGTTTTGTTGTAGGATTTTGGAAGGACGCAAGTTCAATATAGAGGAGGTTGATTAGCACCAATTTTTCCAGCCAAATGGAAATCAAGGAAAGGAGTGCAGCTTTTAGTAAGTCTGAAATTTTACTGTTTAAGAAATCGGCTTTCTGGCAAAAATGTCTCTGACCATTTCGAACAACACCCTGTAGTATATGGTGTTTTGCATGGAGCTCTTCTGTCAAGGTCATTAGCAATTGAATATATTAAAGTGGACTGCTTATGAAACAGAGTTTTGCTTCCTGCCCGCCCACCTGTGGGTATAGTGTGGGTTCTGTAACTGTAAAAGGTCTCAGGAGGGTTATAAAAGCAGAGAATATGGAAAATATATAAAGAAACAAAGAAGGAAGCCTGCATACACGATGTAGTTTCTTATATGTAAAGTTGGCTATAGTTGTATATGTATCACTAAATTAACCTCAAAAGCTGTCCATGACAGCAGAATGTCCGTAGTAATTGTTTTTGTTGGCGTTTGGCTTCAGAATTAACTCATCGATCTAACATGAGTCTCTGTACTTGAAATACTGGTCTGTTAATGTTGTTTTACTTTTTCATGCGATCATGGAAAAAATATGTTTCTGCTCGAAGCAGTTGTCAAACAAGCTTCTTTCATCGACAATCAGACACAGGGCAGCTGAGTAAGGCTGTTTAGTCTAGAATAAATACTCGAGAGATTACAAGGTCGCTGTAGGAAATGTAATTATACCATTTATTCCAGAATAGTCTTTTTGTAGTGTGGGCTTGCAGAATACTAAATCATGCATTTATTAAAATGCATATAATCTAAAGGAAAAAAAAATGGCAAGACTTTAACATAAGAAATGGAGAATTGTCTGGCAAACTGTACCACAGGATTAACCAGTAAATACTGGTTTTTTTTTAAACTGAGAATAGGTAGGAAGCAAACCCTGAATTGTCTCTGCAGGTGTAGAAGCAATGCTATGAAGTAGGCAGCTAAACTAGCATCAGGCAAAGCTGTCTGCTGATGGATTATAATGTGGCAGGAGGCATTCAGCAGTTGTGTGGGCCAAATGTGCTATATTCTGTACTCTTTGCATTTTGCCAAATCAAAGCCTTATTACTACCAGCCTACTTGAAAATATCTGATTGTCTGTGATAGTTGTTACCTGTTACTGAAAGCCTTGCTTTGTTTTCATCCTTCCCTTCATCCTCTGCATTGATATTGCTATTGATGTATCATCCTCCAGTGACTTTGTGCATCCACAGACTACTCCTTTGGTTGTCCTCCATCAGCTTAAAAAACATATTTTTGTAGAACTCAAATTTTACATCTTCTGTTGCTTCTGTAAAGTTACATGGTTTGAGATGAGTAGCTTTTGTGCTCAGTATTTTCTTTTTCTTTACTTTTTTCCCTCCTTGCTTCTCCTGCACTCCATCATATTGCCCCGTGAGTCCCTCTGAATCCTCAGCCAGATGTAGTATTGGGAATTGTGTAGTTGCCACAAGAAAAACAATATGTTTTGCATGTGCAGGAGGGATATTCTCTGCTTATCTCTCACTTCAGCAACAGGAGGGCCTCAGTTTCCTCTGGCAAAGCTCATCTGGGGGCTTTTGGAACAGAGCCCCCAGATGCTTTCTTTAAGCCCAGACTACAGAGAGAGGAACATCTTCACAAGGAGTGAAGTCTGTCATGTAGAATAAGGGAGCACATTGAAGACCACAGCTGAGAGGAGGATATCCTCTTAATTAACATCTGAGCATCACTCCTGTTGTACTTGGCCATAAAGAATGGCAGAGATATGTCATGACAAGGAGCTGCTCGGGCAGTTGAGGCAAGCACTCATGGCTTTCCAAAGGGTCCTCTAATATGCCTTCTACGGCATTGTAAAAATCCATTGTAATAAAACTGCAAGAAGGAAGGCTGAAAAGAGGAAGAGGCTTCCTAGACCCTTCAACATTATTGTTTCAAGAAGGGGGAGTTATTTGTAACATTTAGACTCAATGGGATGGCCAGCAAAATAGATGAAAATAAAGCCAGAAATGATGCATCTTCTTGACTTTGACACTGATAACCATAGTTGTGAAGCAGCCTTCCAAATGAAAATTGTTTGGTTGGGTATCAAATGGCTGAATTACAAGTTTCCTGAAATGGCGGAGAGAGGCATGAGAGTGTCTTGCTTGAAGCTTTGTGCAGCTTTTTGAGCTGTTGCTTGTGATTCTTTAACCCCCTTCAGATAGCTTTGTTGCAGCTTTCTTCTCGATGAGTAGCATTTCTCACAGTGATCAGGAGTCTTATTGGTGCCCAGAGAAGCTGCATGGGGTGAGACATGTCATAGATGTTCTACCTTCCCAAGAAAAAGCTTCAGCTGGAGCTTGTGATCACCCACAAGACCAAGCTGTAAGAAATGAGACTGCATCGTTTCTGGTGTAATGGCACAACTTAGAAAGGAGAGGAAAACTGAAGCTCTTTGGGTCTTTGAAATTGAAAGATGTCCAAGAACAGGTAAAAGGTTATTGTCTTGTGTGTCTTTGTAGTTAGAGGCTCATGTGTGTTGGGTCAAGAGGGCAAAAGAGGAACCCAAGCCTTTCACAAATAAACAAATGCCCCAAAAGCATAGCTGTTCTTAGCTTTGTGTGTTCTGGACCCCTTTTATTCATCATGAACACTAATGACATGAGGTGCTTTTAATTCAGAGTCTCTTAAACACCGGTTATTTGCAGGATGGGTGTATGTTCAATGAATTCTTTAAATACTAGTCATTGTAATCGTCTACTGCTTTCATTTCAAATAAACCTTTGTATCAAATGATTGAGATGTTACCTGGTTGCTTGACACCTGCAGTTAGGTTGCTGGGAATGCTGAAGCTGGCTTGTGGTGCTGTCTGTGCAGTGCTTTGCCTCAGCTAGTACACCCCACAGCAAGGCCAGTAAACCTGTCCATTTACACACATGGAGCCTGCGGCAGCACCCACTTGAGCTAAGAAAGAGAGGACTGACGCCTGAACAGGCAGCAGTCTTGTGAAGATTGGTGGCACTAAACAGATGGCTACAGAAGCCGTTATTAATTCAGCATGGTCTTAAAAATGCTCTTTTTTTTTTTTTTCCTCCCTTGGGTTAGGGACATAATCCATGTTTCTTATCATGCTCTACAGCTTTGAATTGTTTTAATTTTAGTGGGGCTGCCTACAGGGGTTGAAGAACGTACCTGCAGTCAAGTTGGCTGGCTGGAAATTACGTACATGCATTTAGGAGCTGGTTTTCATGGCTTTGTTTTTAATGCCTTGCTTAATAGTTAGTTGAAAACTGTTCTAGATAAACAGCACACATAGAGCCAGACTTCCAGAAGGAATTGAGTTGCTTGCTTCTCTCTCTTGCAAACGTATGCATTCAAGTTAGGCCACATTTGTAATAACAAAATAGGGGTTTGAACATAATCGGACTTCACAGATGAACTATTGCTGAGGCCTAAAGGTAACGCCACCATATTTTTGTTTCTTTACCTAACTGGTATTAAATGTAAAAACATAAATCCTTTTCAGTGGGAGAGGAGAAGGGGAGATGGTTTTCATTTGGCATAATTTCCTGTGAGACGTAGTTCTAAACAAGGCCCATATTTACACAAGACAATACAGTTTTACATGTACTGGTATATCCAGCACACTTTAAAATTATTTAGCCAGCCCCGGGTATTAAATACCTTCACAATAAATGTGTTTAATAAAAGTAGATGAAGTTTGAAATAATTTTTGAAGAATTTTACAGTAGAAACACCAGTTAAATCAACCCCATTGCAGTAATAAATGTCACAAAAACAATTAATTATACTTGCTTGCCACTGCAAAATCAATTGTGTAACTGTTCTTCTAAAACTGACTTTTACATTACTAAATCCTAAACACTACACTTCTGTAACTTGTCAAAATCAGGTTTTGGTTAATAGATATTTTCAGTGATGTAATGGGAACTTCTGGCATGGAGTCAGAATATAATGGACTGTGATTAATGTTTTAATAAGCACTTTTCTTCTACTTATGATGCAGCAGTGAAATGGTTTCCTGCTTAGATTGATAGAACAGCAGGTGTGCGTACATACTTTTTTTCTTTCAGTAAGAGTAAGTTTTCCAATTCTTCTGCTTGAAAACATTTAATGTTTTTCCTTGAGTCAAGTGCTGCTGATTGGGGGCTTTCAGTTTGTTTGTTTTAAATCCAGCTATTGCCGGTATTTGTCATGGTGATGTGGAGGGTGCCATGGAAACGGTTTCAGTACTTAGAGTAATTGCTTTGCAAAAGGGGAAGCTCATTAGTTTAAAAAATAGTTTTGATATATTGATATTTTCTTCAGTGAAAGGATTTGTTTTAAAATAGTGTTAGAGTAATTCAAAAGTGTGTGAGTACCAAGTATAGCGTTGAAAATATTAACAGGTTAGATTTATTATTTAAGTTGATGTAATACACTTGCTACATGCTTGGTTACTTTTGAACTAGAAGTGATTGTGTTTTTCTGTATTTGAAATATTTCTACTTAAAATAAAAATTCTATTTTAGTAACTGTTTTTTAAGGACCCATTAATCCAGATTTGGTGCAGGGATAGGTTTTTTGCTTAGAGTTCCAGACTTATGTTGTCTTGATGTATTGGTGAGGTGGTATTTCTTCTAAGATGCTGCTTAAGGTGAACATATTCTCCATACTCTTAACATTCTACTAATTTCAGGGGGTGGTTGTGCACTTGATCTCCACTGTTCCTCAGCAGACGAATATATATAAAAAGAATACATATATGCGCAACACAGAGCATGACAACTGCCTTCTGTTTAGAACAAAGTAGTCTCTCTTCTTTCCTTTTCCACTGTCCTTGTAGGCTGGATAGTAGCAAGGAATATACCTGCAATGGGGAGAGAGGAGAAGAGGGTGAACCCCATAGAAAGAGGACATCCAGTGTCTTAGGCATTGCTGGCATTACTCCACCAGACAAGACTTTAGGCACCTCTGCTCTCTCATTTCAAAAAGTCAGGCAAACCTTTCTGGAAAGATAGAAAAGGTGCTGTGGTCCTGTCTCCAATGCAGGTGCTCTTCTCTTTTCTCTGTTGACGTTAATTGAGATTCAAGGTAAC